AGGGCGGCTGGCGGCCCGCACCGGGTTAGCCCAAGGCTGCCTCAGCTGCGAAGCGGCCCGCCGGCTCCAGGGGCTTCTTGGGGGCGACCTGCCGCTGGATTACCTCAGAAGAAGGGCACTGGGGATAGAGGCGGGTCTGCCCCCCGCGCTGACATTCGGACGTTTTCTCCGGGTCATGAGCATGAGTTCACCCCCCTCCGCCCCTGTTTCCTCCGTTTTGGTAACATTAAGGTGAGAAATAAAGAGCTTACGATCGGGAAAACGGGTTTTCAAAACTCTCCCCAGAGCGGCAAGAAGGGGGTGCGTGCATTCCAAGAGAGCGTGGGACACCGATGCTGTTCTCAACCACGCATGTACACACGCTCACCCAAATGCTTTTCTTTCGTCATTTAGCCACAGAAACCTCACCCAAATTAAGGCTTCTTCGTGGGAGAGCTTCAATCCCAAACGATAACTTTCACTTTTGCTGCTCACTGCTTTTCTCTTGTTAAGGGAAACAATACGGAAAATCGAACCTCACCATCAAGGAGTCATGGATTTTGAAGAGACCTTGTATTTCACATTTTGAAACACTGCAAGTATTTTTAGAGAAAAGCACACCAAAAATTACTTGCTTTGAGAAAAGTCCAAGCTGACAAAGGACTGCTTGGGTCAATGAACATGGTCTTTTCCAACCAGCAACCTCATTACAAAATGCCTTAAAAAAAATTACCAAGCTCCAACTTTCAAAGGCACAGCTTTTGTCTCCCGCTGTTCCCATTGACATGATTTTACAGGACATTCAGCAGCTAGAATTGCAGTTTCCAGCTGAAAAATTCAGGCAAGCCCTATTTTATATCCGTGACCCTTTAGCTCCTCTCCCTTCCCCATCTTTACTCTCCTGATGCATTTCACAAGCTGAAATCACGCTCCTTCTCAGCTTATGTTTTGCTGCATGGGACGAGCCAGTCTCCTTTAGTGGAAGAGACCTTTAAAGAAGTTTTTATTTAAAAAGAAATTTCATAGCTACAGAATTCACGGAACATCTTTCTTCCTCCTAGCAGGGCGGCATCGGCACGGTAAAAACAGCACAGCAGTGATGAAGTAAAGGCGACACGCTTCTACCCTCCTGCCGTTCTCTCCTCCAGCTTTTCTCCCCCACAGAAGCGCAGCTTGGGGAATCTGCGTACAGATCTGGCGCTATTTGTCAGCACCCAAACAAGTTGTAAAATAAATCATGCAACCTAATTTTAGTCCTGGCTGGCAAAGCCAACGTTGCTGCTATCCTAATGCCTATAATTTGCCTCAGAGAAAAATGCTTTGGAGGCAGAGTTGTTTAATTATTTCAAAGGCTGTTGGCTGATGAAGGCTCAACAGGCTTCCAGCTGGCAAAGGCAGGAGGGACACTCTCCATGACGAGAGGCAGGTTGCCTTGGGATGAAGCCACAGCACATTCTGAACCCCATCGAGGTCTTGTCTTACTTGTGTCCAGGGGATGGCAAATGCAGCTGTGCCAACAAGCGTTAGAGGACTTTTGCACCTCTGCTCTGCCTAACCACCAAAAGCTGTCAAGTAAGAAGAAATGGGATTCTTCTTTCCATTACTTGCAGCACCTCTCACGGAAACCGCTGCCGGGACTAGGGGCTCCGTGGGCTGAGGGCACCGTGCTGTCATCGCTAGCATTGAATCTTCCCTCGGCAAGACACCACCTAGCTTTTTGATCTTATAAAAGCAATCACTCAATATTACAAACCTGAATATTTAACAATAAGTCAGTTTTAAATAAGCGTGGCAGTACCGAAAGCGCTCCACTCGCGTCTTCGGCGTCGCTCTGTTTGTTCCCGTTGAAAATCCGCCGACCGTGGTGGGGACGAGATGAGAAATACCGTCAGCAGTTCCAGACACCGCTTACCTGACGAAATCTTTCGTTCCTCTGCCGAGTTCCCCGGCGGCGTTTTTGTCACACGCATGTCCCACCGCGGGCAGAGGGAAACCGAGAGAGACCCGGTGCAGCGGCAGAGGGGTCCGGACGCCTGTCCCTCGTTCCCCAGGAGGGACACAACACTCCCGGGTACGGCCCGACCCCTTCCCCGCCCCGGGCGGCAAGGTCTAGCCGCGCTGGGAAGCGCGGTACCACAGCGGAGCCCAGCCTTACCGCGCCAGCCGAGCCTCCCCGAACCCAGCGGCAAACCCGGCCGCCCCGCTGCCCTCGGAGCGCCGGCCTCGCCCGCCGGTGAAGCCCCCGGTCCCGCTGCTCCCCTTCTGCCCCCGCTCGCTCTCCCGGCCACGTCCAGCCGAGGGCCCTGCCAAGGAGGAGCGCAGCCGCCATTCCCCGAGCCGCTCCTCTCCTCCCTCGCCCTCCCGCCCGCCGCGGACGAGACCATGAGGGCGCATACGGGGGGGACGGGGACGGGGGACGGGACCCACAGGGCCACAGAGGTGCCTCTCCC